CGAGCCCAGCCTTACCTGTGTACTCTGGGTAGCAGATCGTTAGTGGGCTTTTCTTAATCTTCTCCTCAAACAGGTCTTTCTTGTTCAAGAAGAGAATGATCGATGTGTCTGTAAACCATTTGTTGTTGCAAATGCTGTCGAACAGTTTCATACTCTCATGCATCCGGTTCTGAAAAATAAAGGGAGAAGGGCGATGCATCATCCCGGAGTTATTAGGGGAGGACGGGGCGGGGGGACAGACAGGCTTTACTACAAAGGCCAGACTAAAGAGTCAAGTGTCCCTGACACATCCTCGCTGCCACTTCACCAGGAAGAGCATGGGCACAACCCCGAGCAGGGGTCGGGTCACCTCCTCATCCCGTAACCCCCCCCGGGACCTGTTTGTTCCTCCACGGAGGTGCTCGTGCCTAGGGGAACGGGCTGCAGGGACAACTCAAGGCACCTCCCTGTAACCAGGGCCTGGAGGAAAAAAAAAATAATCTCATTTACGCATTGCGTTTATCAGTTTCTGGGGCAAGATACTGCAGGCTGCTGCAAGGAAGCGCCCATCTTCACGGCCCTCGAACAACTGTAACAAGAGGAGCAAGAGAGAGACATGCCACCCCACGACTCCACCTCCCTTCTCCTTCTCCCAGGCAGCCAGGCGCTGGCAACTCCTCCACAACATACCATTTCCTCGTCTTCGGCCAAGACGAGGTCGTAATCGCTGAGGGCCACACAGAAAATGATTGCTGTCACGCCCTCAAAGCAGTGGATCCACTTCTTCCGCTCCGACCGTTGGCCGCCAACGTCAAACATCCTGGGAGAGGGAGAAGAACGGCCTCAGAAGCTATGCAGACCTCCCTCCCCGGCCACCACACCGTTGACAGGGGACGGAGCGGGGGGGCTCTGCTGCGGACTTTCAAACAAGCGGGGTTTAGGGGAAAACAGGTACACGGCCTTCCATCAGCGAGGCCAACAACTCCGAGCCCTCCCTTTCTCAGGAGGCTGGGTTTTAGAACCAGAATTCTTTTCTTTAGAGCCATTTCAGCAGGCAGGACGAGACGTTACCTACATCGCTATCCAGAAGTCTGCTGATTCACCAGGGCATGCTTATTTTGTTCTCTGTCTCCTATTTCCTTAGCAACAATCCATTTGCTTGACTGGACTCCAAACACCTACTCACAGTCAGCTCTTCCAGTTAATTTACACTACGTCTGACAAAGGATTATCTGGAACATACTACCTGCATGCTACTGCCGGGACCCAGAAAAAAATTAATGGGGTTAAGAAACAGTTTCACGTATTTAAAAAAAAAAAAGCCACCACAACCACAAAACAACCTGTGAGCTACTGAAGTTTAAAGGCTGCAGAGCGGCTTACAGAATTTCTGTCTATAAAAACGATGCAAGTGCCTTGGATACCAAAATATTTTGATGAGAAGCAGGACTGCCCAGGATGTTCTGATGGACTGTGACTTAATTAAATCAAGCCAGATACAAGTCAATATCCAAGAGCCATGAAAATCATCACCATTGATTTGTTATCAGAGCAAACAGGCAGACAAAGAGAGAAACTGCCCAGGGTGGGCCAAAAGCAATGCAATTTAATGATGCCAAACGAGGCAGCCAGAAGCGCCGTTCAGCTGAGTCCCATCTTCTATTTAAGGTAAGCCGTCCCCGTGGACCGCAGGAGGAAAGATGAAAATCTCTGAGGATAACAGGCTATTTACTCGGCTCGTATCATTTGCCATTACTCTCCGCTGCTAGCGTGGAGACGTCTGGAAAGGAATAGCATCCTTGACAACTCAGCTTCGCCAAGCTAATCCAAATTCGAGTCACAGTTATACTAAGGCTACCTCAGCCCATTATTAATGTCTGAGACTTAACATCAAGGCTTCCGTTGCGGGAAAGATGGCAGCTTCAGGGTTTAAGATGTATTAACGCTTTCCTTTGTGGAGCAAATCCATCCGAGACGAGACACCTCGCGTCTCGGGCTCTGCACATGATCGATGACTCCAGGCAGGCTTGGGAAAGAGCGATTCCCCTCTTTGCATCGGGGAGGCACGCCTCCGAGCGCTCAGCCATTTCACATTAAAAGAGGGGTTATACTGATTAAACGGAATATGCCTGCTACCTCCAGCTCACTCTGCCATTAGTCAGACGTGACGATCTTTAAAAGAGCACCGCACGCCGCAGCTCGAAATGCTAATCCTAATACATCACAACAGAAGACAAGTTTTTTTCCCTGGACGAACCAGAAGCCATGTAAATAGCTCGGTGATGCAAAGTGTTGAGGCATTTTTGTTAAAACGCTTCGTAAGTTAAGACAGTTCGGAAGCCAAAATGCTACTGTTCTCCCAAAAAAGCGTGCAAACAAATCAGATCTTATAAGCGACACTCGGATTTTTGCTACGGCTCTTTCAAACTGTTTTCAAACACAAGCTAAAAATAAGCAAACAAATGCTTATTTAAAGGCTCTGAGCAACAGAGACTTGAAAACGTCGCCCCAGACGAAGGGAACTCGCCCAAGATGCAGGCGCCGCGTCTTCCTACAGCCACATTACGGGACACGAATGCCCACCCCGCGGGGGCTCCAGGCTGTTTGTCAGGAGCGCGCTCGGGATCCAAAGCGAGGATTTTCTAACGAGC